AAAACGTGAAACGATTTTAAATTTATAAGCAGCAATTAAAAAAATAAATTAAAAAAACTTGCAACTTTCTTTTGTTCTTCCAAAAGAGTGTTTTGGGGGATTATTTTTTCTCTTGAAACATTCGCCAGGACTGATTTCGCGTCTGACACGCCCTCTTTATTCATTAAATTTAATTGGATTTTCCCATTTTTATCAATTCCCATTTTTATAGTAACAAACTCCTTTTTTGTTAATGGGACTTGTGTGTCAAAACAACCCAAAAGTGTTTCGTCCTCTTTCAGTTCAACTCTAACTGAAGACGTTTCTGCGATAGCTGGGAAACTGTATTCCTCCAATGGCAGAGGAGTACCTCTTTCCACAACAACGGGCCAAAACTCTGTACCATTACCATCGACTGCCATCATTTTGATATCTCTTGTGGTCACTTCATCTATCGCAATTTTGATACTCGAACACACTTCGTCGGAAGCATTGGCAGGCTCCATTTGCCACTACGGTGTAACAATTTTCAGAGCAGCACACCTTTCCTTCTCCAAAGTAGTCTGTTAACATGTTTCTTATTTTTGGTATTTGTGAACTTCCACCCACTAAAACGACTTTACTTATTTGTTGTGGTTTGGCTTGTACTTTTGGAAGATTTAAAGTGTCTTTGACTGTCTTCATACACTCATTGAATAAATCAGAGCAACACATTTCAAAGTCCTTACGTGTAACAGCAAGTGAATAATTTTCATATTCGACAGTAACACAGTTTAAAGTGGAAAGTGAAATTTTTGCCTTCTCGACTATTTGTTTCAACACTCTACGTCGTTTTCTTTTCATGTTTTTTGAACCAAATGTGTCTTTCTTTTGTTCAATAAAAAGGTTGGCCATTTCAGTTGGAAAATCTGCTTCCCATTTGCTGATCACGTACTCCACAAATTTATTGTCGATATCTAGACCCCCAAGATGCTGATTGCCATGTATACCAATGAACTTGATGTGCTTTCCTTTCTTTTCAAAGACGGTCGTGTCAAGTGTTCCTCCGCCAAAATCAAATGCAAAGAACATGCCGTCCTTCATTTTTTTTTGACTCCATAGAAATATGCGGCGGCTTTAGGCTCTGTTGTAAGAGTCACATCCAAGCCAGCTATCTGTGCGGCTCGCAGAGTCAAGTCCCGTTGTAATTCATTAAAATACGCAGGACATGTTAAAACCACATTTAAACGACACTTAGAAAGATCACAGCTAGTCTTTTCAATTATACTTTTCTTGATTTGAGTTAATACCATTGCAGAGATTGCCTCCGGTTTAAGTGTTATTGTCTTACCATTATAAACAATTTTAAAGACACACAATCAAGTGGAAACGTCTTGTTCGACACTTAGCATCGTCTCAATCATTTTCTGTACAAAAGGGTCTGTGAATTTGACACCAAGTAGTCGCTTTGCTTCATAGACAGCAAGGGTATTATCGCTACCAACAAGAACTGGGGTTTGCCCAAAAAACACGGAAGAAAGAATAAACTGATTCCCACTACCAAATACAATGGGTTAAATGTTTCCTGATTTAGAGTTTAAGTAAAAACACTCACTGTCAATAGTCCCAAGATCAATTCCAACAGAAAGTGTGTCAGTCATTTTTTCAGTCATCAATGATATTGGTAGTTAAAAGTGGTGTACATATAAATTTGATTCGTTATTATAATGACAATAATTTTTAATTTAAAAAACAACTAATTTGATGTTTATATTTCATTGGAATCATTTTTACAGATACCTGATATGTGGCTTATTAGTAATCAATTTTATTTTAATAATTTTAATTTATAAAGAAATATCCTTATTGTATATATGTTAAAAATCATTTTATAGAGTAACTTAAAATATATTTTTTAACAAATATTATAATAAAGTATTAATGTTTGTTTTTTGTTATATAATCAACCATAAAATAAACTTTATCTGTAAACAACTAAAATATAGCTATTCGCCGATATTTTGCTTGTCTTAAAAGTTGCTGATTAATATTATTAGTAAAAAATACCATTCATATTACAATTTTTCATGGTATAACAATTAAAAAAACAAATTATAAAAAAATCATTATTATCAAATATTGAAATTAAAAAATACAGTCTCAATTATCTCAAATCATTTTTAAATTATATTTATTTGATTATAATATTACAAATTATAACAACTATTGCGTTTTTATACATTTTTGAGATTATAATTAATATAATATGTATTGTAAATATTTAGAGTTATTTAGTACTCAAAGATGTCAGCAACTTTGAAAAGACCGAAT